ACCTGTGCCTGAACCAGCAACTGTCTACATTTCATAACAGTCCGTGGGCACTTCCGTTTAACGTCGAAATGTGGACTTTTTATTAAATCGCTCTTATTATGTGAATATAATTGTATGTGGCTTCGGAGCGGTGCCTCTTGACCTCGCGATGACTCTTGCAGGTACAGTGCAATACGGATTAACTGACTATACTCCGAAGCCACATGCAGTTACGTACACATAATTCAAAAGCAATCCCTTCCCCTAAGCAGATTTCCTTACTGCTGGAACTGAGGATGGTAAAAAGGGAGGAGTAATAGTCGCCGAGCGAATCTCGAGGTGTGTTCATCGACCAGGGGCCCTCGACAGCCAAACTGTGCACCGCCACTACGGCAGAATTCTAATTGGGCCGCGTTCACTCAGTGCTCCGTTTTTATTATATCTCATCGTGCAGGCATGTCATCTATTTTCTGAAACGTTCTGAAAAGTGTGCTACTGGTTGAGGTATTGTGTTTCCTTATCTTCTTTATCTTTTTGGAGTATTTACGGCAGTCCACCAATTGGCGATCATTTTTCTCTCACCGGAGCAGTAAATTCTAACGCCTGCCGCGCCCGAGGTCTTGCGTTCACACGGAATTGCTTTGCAATGGGTCGTTCCAATTCACTTCGTTCCAGTTTAGTTCTCTTCACATATTATTACAGCTGCTTGGAAGGAAATTACTAACCTCATCGTTCTCCTTTGAAACAATTCCACTACATGCGAACGATGAGGTAATCATGTTGATGATCAGGTCTTTGCTCATTACGTGCAGCTCTTTATTCTGAACAGTATGCGTTGTTCAAACTATCGATCTGTATAAGCAATGACATTTATAATGACCTCTTCCTCTAGTACATTGGTCTTCCTAGAAATTCCATAAAGAGCAGCCACGCCGGCTTTCCTGACAGCATTGGAAATGGCCTGAAAATGAAAATCCAATAACACTGCTGTAGATCTACTTTGTCACCATAAACAACGTTGGAATCATGAGGCTGGTAATGGTTCCAGCCACGTGTGGTAGTGCCAGTATGATGCCACGTTTTGCTGGGAACTGCTTTTGGAATATCGCGAAATTCCATCGAAGCTTTAGCGTTCAAGCAATCCACTAAGGCAGTGTTCAGACTTCGCGACTGCAGCGGCTCATTCGCGACCGATGCATTCAAAAGCATGCGCATTGAGGATTCTGCACTACTTAGCACACGCTCCTACTTGCAGCAGTCATAACGCCCATACAATACATAAATCTGTAGAATAGATGCAATGTGTAGTCGGCCAATACAGCGCAATGTGAATCGATCAGTAAAAGAACAGATTTCGTTCCCATCACCGAAATGCCTACCGATGAAAGTTTCCTTTTTCAATTAGTATGCAATCCGCTCGCTGAGATATAATTTAGTAGGTACTTTAAGGTATATATAGTATGGGCGTTATAGCGCGGACCACACCACTGCTGCAAGTAGGAGCGTGTGCTCAGTAGTGCAGGATCCTGAGCTTTGCTCTATCTGTTACGATTCGATCACTGATCACTGCAGCGCACTATTAAAAATACGTTAAATTATGGAGCGCGCCTGGCGAAGCCAGGCCAGCTCGGCGAAGCCGAGCTAAAGAGAAGGAGGAGAGCTCGGCGTCAGCCGGGCGATCCGACTGGTAAGGTAAAGAGCTATCGAACGCATGAAGTGCCACTATTCAGGTTTTCCGGTTCTCCTCGAATTTCCCTGAAATTGAAATGAAATTCCTGTTTTAGGCGAACTACATACCCTCCCCCCCCCCCCGTCGACATCGACATTATATAGTAGGATAGTGGGATGAGTTCATTTTCTAGTGCTATCAGAGAAGTGATGGCTAAAGGAAAAGTTTGCACACTGAGCCTTCAATACTTGGCAGTATAGTGATAAGAGATGTAATGAGAATGGCCCTTATCCTTTCTTATCAATTGATAAGATTGCCTGTCACCCGTTATCAATGTCCCTATCACTAAAACTCTATAGTGTAAAGGCTCCAGCAATTTGACTGAACAACAATGGCAACGTTCCTTATCAGCCCCTATCAGCTGTTATCACCTCCTGTCACCTGCCGTCGATGTCCCCATCTCCCACTCTACAGGGGGGGGGCCAAAAAAAAGACATTCTGACCGAGTCACAT